TTTTTTTTTGAATGTCCAGAGGACCAGATTTAACTTTTTTAGATTAATTTTTCCCTGTTTTTGTTCTCAGGCTGGTGCTCCCTTCATCTAGTCCAAAATGGCATAAAAACCAGACTGACATAAAGATGTACCTCACAGGTGTAGTTCAGGTTAGTTTTATGTCTTAGCCATTTTAATTTGATTTTACCATGATGTATAATAATATTGACTATAACTTTTAATAATATTATGTATTTGCTAATGTCCTTCTACCAGCTTTGTGTTGGTTAAACTTATCTGTAGTTTTATTTTTTCTGTTTCTGGTCTCTTGTGCAGCTCTTATCCTGTCTAACAGAATCAACAGTCATCACTGCAGTCCTGCAGCACATCAACCAGCTGATATCCTATTACCTTTGTCTACCCAAGCAGTGTCGTCAACTCGTCAAGGTAAAGCTTAAACACCGAGGTGTCTGGAAACTTATTTAACATGATATTTTATTTACATTTGCGCCTTGTTATATTTACTTGTCTATGTTTTGTGTTTAGCAACTACTGAAGCATTGGAGCACAGGAGAGGAAACGAGTCGAGTTCTTTCTTTTTTGGCCCTCAACAAAATCTGCAGACACAAACAGGAAGCGTATCTCAATCCTATTTTGAAGGTAAATGGAGGCATGCGTTGAATCATGGGGTGGTAAATTTTAAATTATGTTATTGTTTGACATTGATTTTATTTTCTTGCAGCAAATGTACATTTCCTATGTGCAAAACTGCAAGTTCACGTCTCCCAATGCGCTTCCCATGATCAACTTCATGCAGAGAACTTTGACAGAGATGTACTCCTTGGATACACAGGTTTCCTATCAGCATGCCTTCATCTACATTCGACAGCTGGCCATTCACCTCAGAAATGCCATGACCATGAAGAAAAAGGTTTGTTCACTGCTGCTGTTCTCATAGATATAGACTTTAAAATTATTCACAAAAACCATGGCATTTCCACCAAAAGCACCTGGAACTTTAGTTACGCAGAATGGGGTTAATGAACTGAACTCGTAACTGCAAATACCAGGAAAATTAGACTCTTTGCAGTTGAAATAAAATCTCTACGTACTTGTAAAACTATAAAGCTGTGGGGCTGCACATATGCACCTTCTGTTTAAGATGGAACAAATGTTATTTTAAACGTTTAAGCTTTTACCATCTGCTCCCCCGGGCACCCTAGATGGCAGCTCTCTGCTCCACACGGAGTGGTAGCTCAGTGGTCTGTGGTTGCATCAGGAAGGTCATCCAGCATAAAAACAATTGCCAAGTCTTCGTTCAAGTTAGTTCGCTGTGGTGATCCTTGATGAAGGGAACAGCCAAAAGAAGAAGAAGAAGAAGAAGAAGAAATAACTACAAAAAAAGCATTTACCCCTCTAGTACAAGCATGTTAGCCTTTTTTAAATAATTTTTGTCTCCCCCAGGAAACGTATCAATCTGTGTATAACTGGCAGTATATTCACTGTCTGTACCTGTGGTGTCGAGTCCTCAGCACCCTCTACCCCAGCGATGTTCTTCAACCTCTGATCTATCCGCTCTGCCAAGTCACAATTGGCACCATAAAGTAAGTATAAGTTGTTTTTTCCTTCAGTTTTAGAAAAAGTTTAATTAAAAGTTTTTAGAACTTGCAAGAAACGCTCAGATGCGTAATGCTTGTTGTTGTTAGCGTTGTGTTTATGACAATAAAAATTGTCAGCTGTTGGTGCCATTTGTGGTCCAGAGTTCTCCTCTTCATTTACTCAGCCCAGATAATACTTACTGGTTCTGAGCACCTACAGTCAGCCCAGACTAAATGAAGTGAAAATGTCTTCCTGCTGAAGTTTATGATGACACACTATGCATGGATGGTAAAATAAGCTATGAAAGTTAAAAACTATAATCATAAACTTATTTGTCTGAATTGCAGAAACTAAAACTATCTGTGCAGCACAAATCTTAGTTACAGTAATATGCTTTCTTAAACTATTGGACGATTATTAAAATGTAATTGATATGTTATTCATCAGTTTGTCTGCAGTCTTTGTCCAATACAACTCATTTTGGCTTATTCTGTTTTTGTAGTTCACAGAATTTATGGATTCATGTTAAGAGGATAAATATGATTCCTTTCTTCCTTTGACACAATTATCTGAGGTTATGTTTTGTTGCGGATATTATAGGTTTAAAGTACCACACCTCCTAGACCCTGTTCCTATAGTCTCTTTTGAGAGGAGCAGGTTGGGGGAGGATGGAGCCACTTGACCCTTTTTCTTGAACTCTGTGTTTTAGATTGATCCCACAGCTTTTAGCTACCTTGCATTCTTAAATTTGAACAAATGACTCTTTATAATTTCCTTGTTATCAAAGAGAATGTGTTGCTTAACTTGACCACAAACCAAACTAGTGAAAAGTACTGGCAACTTATTTTACAAATACTTGTTTGCGTTTTGGCCAGGGGCTGCTTGTACAGATCATGTTTAATTGTATCTAGTTTTAAATCAGAACTAAACTGGAACAAGTGAAAAATCTATGCAAATATGTTTGTGTTTTGAATATTTGACCTCGTTTTATTTGGCACCTTTGACTTGACTGTTTTTATAACTAATTTGATTTTAAATGCTTTTTGTTGAATTGCTGTCTGTACTTTATGTTTGTCTAAAACAAGTCTCTTGAAAATGAGTCCTCGTGACTCATTGAGACTAACCTGTATAAATAAAGGTTGAATGAAAAAAGTTGTATCAACGTGTAGTAGGCGACCATAATTGTAGGCAGTCAAAATTCCACTGTAAGCTCACAGCTGCAGGGTTTTAGGCATTATTAGAAGCTTATGTTACTAATTATTGTCTCACCGCTTCACCAATGTTTAGTTTTGTAATGGCAGAATGCTTTTGTTTCTGATGGTGCAATACTCACTCACAAATGGGATATTGGACTTTCAAACATCCATCCATCCATTGTTTTTACCCGCTTCTTCCGTTTCAGGTCTCGTGTGTCATTGGTGCCCATATCCAGGCATCACTGTGCGAGAGACAGGGTACAAATGTAAAAAACAAAAAGAGGAAAGATACCAACAATAGGTCGTATTTTCACTGTAGAATACACAATATTGATAAGTAGAGGGTCATTTTGTTGTTTCATGAACTTTATAAATGCCAATGAATATTCGTAAACTAGAAAGTTCCTGGAGAAACTTTGACGGGGACTGCCTATTTAATATAAAATTATTATTAATAATAAATATTAATATTAATGATTATTAGTATTAATCACAAATACTAACTTAATATTATTACTATAGTTATAAATTATATATATATATATATATATTATTAATTTATTAATTATAAAAATGTTAATAATTACTAATCAATATTAATAATATTCACACTAATAATTAGTATTAATATTAAATATTACTTAATAATATGAATAATTAATTATATTAAAATAGATAATTAATAACATGAATAATTTATAATTATTATTTATTATTAATATTACCAATTAATAATAATAATAGGTGATAATGGGTAATAATAGGTGCCTTCCATGCAGTGCATAATGCACTGCCTTCCTTGCATCTTGAACCAAAATGGCTCCATATGTTACTCAGTTTCTGTGAAGAGTTTTCTCCTATTCATTTCCTATGGGAAATTTGGCATCTTGGTTAGCAAAATATGTCGCCATGGTAACTGCAAATGCCAATAAAAGTAAATGCACACTTCCCGGAGCCGGGCCTGTTGTTTTGATGTAACTTTTGTGGGGGTCCACGTTGCGTTTTGGGCCGCATTACAGTTGAAAAAGATATGCTTTCAGGTGTAGAATAATAAGTGGGCAGTCACCAACTAGTTCCTGGAGTTGGTGAAATATTGTGTCTTTGTTCGCAAATTACGTCGTCATGGTAACTCGAAATGCCAATAAAAGTAATAGCACACATCACGGGGGCAAGCCAGTCGTTTTGATATAACTTTTGTTGGGGTAGACGCTGTGGTTCGGGCCGCATTAACGGAGATGGAAATGTAGACACTCTTCCGATGTGTAGAATAATAGGTGCGGCAGGCACCTATTATTTTTCAGTTATGGTGGTTCAGGCATTTGATGAGGATGCTCCCTGTGAGGAGACCCAGGACACGCTGGAGAGAATAGAGTCTCTCATTTGGCCTGGGAACGCCTTGAAATCCTCCCAGAAGAGCTGGAAGAGGCTTGGGAAAGAAATGTGTGGGCCTCCCTGCTTGCTCAAGCTGCTGCCCCCCGTGACCCGACTCCGGAACAAGCAGAAGATAATGGATGGAAACAATATTTAATTAAAATATTTGATTTTGAAGTCAAATGGTTATTCTAATAATTATATACTGTTGTTTATTCAAAAACTATGAGGCTGTGGTAGCTCGGTGTTGTGGTCTTGTGATTTGAGGCTGTGAGTTCGAGCCTTGGTTGTGTCAGGAGCAGCATTTGGCGTAAAATAATCTTTGATAAAAGTTCACATGCTGTGGCGATCTCGCAGCAGAAGGGAGCTGCCAAAAGAAAAACAAGTTTATTCAAAAAGATTATGTGCATTTTACTACCAGCAGATGGAGACATTTACTGGTATTTTTGTTTCCAGGCTGGTGCCTTCAGCAAAATTTTACCCTCTGAGGATGCACTGCTGCAGAGCCCTCACCCTGCTCTCTAGCAGCACCAACACCTTTGTGCCTGTTCTGCCTTTCCTCCTGGAGGTAAGAGCCCATGTCATCTCCAGAAACCACCACCCACATCCATAAAGCATCCTTGCAGATTGAACAGAATGAAGTGCAGTTTCCACCAGCCCAAGCTTAAGTTGTTTACATCAAAACACAACCTGAAGAAATTATTTAAAATGAACGAGAATAAACAGTTGGGCTGTCTTTGGCTCAATGGAAACAATGAAAAGGTAGATGTGATGAAATCTTCCGTCGGTGGTTTGCTGTGGAAAAACATCAGTGGCGAGTGAAATGCACTTTGCTCTCAACGGCTACAACCGAAGGAGCTCGGGAGGAAACGCGTCGAGGTGCAGAGCCACCTTTGTTATCAGACCAATCACAGGTCACCAACTGACAACATTCTCTCCGGGTCAGGTGCTAATCACGTGGTTGCGTAGGAACGTGTGCGACTGTTAGCACATGCACTGAGGCTTTGTTGTGGGTTTTTTGCAGGAGAGCAGCGTGCTGGCGACAGCAATAAGCTCGGCCCACGGGGGAGTGGTCATTGCTGAGTGTGTGTGTGTGTGTTTTTGCAGCAGTTTGACCGAAGCGACAAAGGCACGGTTGTGGGTTACACTCTGGTCCTAACACGTTGTTCAGACCACATCCTTTCTGCCTTAGAGCCCGCTCTCTTCCCCCCGCCACGACACATGCACCCTCTGAGCCCCTTCCCCGAACCCCCCAGCAGCAAGCTGTGTTTATTTGTGACGCACAACACTTCCTGTGTTTTTTCTCCCTTACTGCTCCTCTCTTGTTAAAGGCAGGCTGAGGTTTGCTGCTACTGTTTTAATTAGAGCAGCAAACGCACCTCCCCTTCCCTCCTGTGTGTCTGCGCCTGTGTGTGTTCTCGTATCTCTGAGGGGGGTGTATGATTTGGAGCTTCCTGCTTCAGTAGCTGTGCGCATGTGTGTGTGTATGTGTGTGTGTGTGTGTGTGTGTGTGTGTGTGTGTGTGTGTGTACAATCGCACCAGGGTTGGCCCATGCCTTCCCACTTCCCCCTGGCTCCCCCGCAGACCGCCACCACATCCTATGTTTGTACAGACTTCATCGGCCAGGAGCGTTGCTCTGCTGTGCGCACACAGAACATTAACGACCTCACACACACACACACAGACACACACACGGAGTTAGAAATAGCTTAATACACATACACCGAGCAGAATTTCACTTGCACACTGTGGGCAGATGTGAAAGCTGCAGCTTGTAGACAAATAGCCCACACATTGACTAGAATGCACTTTCACAGACTTGAGATAAAAAATGTGTTGTCCGGGTAACACTGCCGTTTTTAAATGAGATGTGTTGAATGGCAAGTGCCAAAACACAGTCCACATAAAGCAAAGGAAACGCTGTTAGGCTGAGGGAGATTTAGACTTCATGTTTATTTAATATATATACGGTGTATGTAAAATGCAAAGTTATAAATATTTACAAATAATTTATTACCAGGGAATGTGGAGCTATAATGTTTCTGCCTGTGTCTTAGTGTGAGCACGTGTTCGTTTGTCTGTATCGTACCAAAATATTCCATTACTCACTGGATAGATTATGATGAAACCTGCAGAAAGGAATCCTTGGATGTAAATCTACAACTGAATAACTTTTGGTGTTGATTTGATTCAAGATGGCCACCACAGCAAAGCGGTTGCAAAAATGGCTATCAGTCATTTTTACAGAAATTAAAATTTAGCATGGTAGTAGCTGAGACTGATCCACGACTTGTACTTTGTGTGGTAACTGATTACACAAGATTTGTGACAAAAACTGTAGGGATCAACTCTGTCTGTTTTCTAGCATAATACAGTATTTCATCTACCACTACTACATGTATTTTAAATAAACTTTCAGAAAGTAATCATGTATTTACAACTGATTAACCTGACTGATTCAGAGTCAGTCCAGTTCAAATGTGGCACAGCCAACTGACCTGAGCGAACATTAAAATGGCTATTATTGAACCAGTGTTGCAGATTTTGAACAAAAATGTTGCAGGGTAGTAGCTGAGCATTGTCCTCAACACGTATGTTAACCACAACACACTACAGTCATTTTTACAGTTCCTAATTTTAATGCGCCAAATCAGAATTTTGTGATGCATTGTGGTCTTGATGGTATCATGCCTACTTCCGGTTCATTGAAATACACATAGTCCAGTGTGTCCTTCAGGTTCAGCAACGTTGCAATGTTCTCTTTACTCGCATCATAAAATACTAATGAAACTAATTTATAAACATGTTTGTATATAAAAGTCAATAAAAATCAAGTTCAAGGGACCAAAACAATAGAGTTGAATGCTGACCAAAACTAGCAATGATATTGCTGAAGCCTGATTTTATGCATGCACATTAATTTAAAAAAAGTCAGTAGAGCAACATTTTTGCTTAAAACCTTGGCATTACTTGTTAAGTCGATGCTGTTTGTTCGAAAAATGTCTCATAACCTGCTCGACCATTTTCAATGAAACTGTCAAAGTATTTATTGTCCCTCTACGACTGATTAAATGCAGTAGTCAACAGGATTAAAGATGGCCACCACAGCTAATTGGCCTTAGTCAGCACAAAAGTTTTGAGAAGTTTTACAGATGTTGAGTTAAACTTTGGAGTATGTGTTGTGAACGACTCTCAGCTACTTCCAAACCAATTGATGACGGATCAAGCGCGTTATCCTACTTTCTCGTAATCTATTAAGGAATGCTACTCCTTAAATTAATTAAGAAGCTGATTAATTGTGGAACTTATTATTTATTTGTTGAGCATTAAATTATTTTTTTTAATGAACTTCCTCTGTTTTTTTTTCCCCATTATTGAAAGTTCAGTGTTTGTGATTTCTGCGTTCGTTTCAAAGATCTTTCAGCAGGTGGACTTCAACAAAAAACCAGGCCGAATGAGTAGGAAACCCATAAACTTTGCTGTCATCCTGAAACTGAACAAAGTCAACCTGATGGAAAAAGCATACAAGGTGAGCAGTACTGTGACCAACTGGGAACGAGTAGACGGCGTTCTGTTTTTGTCTTTGTTGCTCTGAGACAAAGCGGCTGATCAGATGAGTGCTTCACTTAGCTGGTGCGTAAGGGGATTGAGGGCAGCGCTGACAGCCCCTCGTCAGGTCTCTAAAACTGCCTCTGAGTCGCCAGGCTCAGTGGCGCAGCCAAGAGGATTGCAGCACGGCTCTCCAGGATTATCCCCCGCGCACTTCCCTCTCTGGGACTGTTCTCGCTGCTGTCACCTCAGCAGCTGCCACATGAACTCACAACAGTCCTGCTTGGTCGAACTGTGCTGCCATTTTGTGCCTTTTAGTCTAAACATAATTTTAACTGATTTGTGTTTTGGTCAAACGTTTTGTGTACTCAGCTTGTTTTTTATCTGACTAGTTGATGTCAACTAATAGATCTGTTTTTGAAATGTAAACTTATTGGACAGAGATGTTGCTTTTGGAAGTCGAGCAGAGATCTAAGTTAAGATGAGGTCTGGACAAAGATCAAAAGATTTTAGATTTACACTAAAATAAAATAAAAAATGAAACGTTTTCTCCCAAGCAGAGCACCAAGTTAGAAAGTTTTCTCTCTTTGTCACTGGAAAATCTACAAATCATCTACAAGTTTTTGGACAGGGGCGCTTGCACAAATGAACCCCATTCGAACAACAAATGTATCTATAAACCGGATTTTTAGCTTTTTAGCACTTTTTGCACACATAAAAATCTAAAGTGCCTCATATCACAGGGCAATACTTTTTCTTACAAGACTTTATTTTAAAAACTGCTTTCGTGTTCAAAATATTTATGAAAAAACCTGATTTACTGTTAAATGTGTTCAATTGTTCAGTCATTTTATTGTAAATCTGTGCATGAAAACAACTTTATTATCGTAACCATTAAACTTGTTGTGGGTGGGAGATAAGGGAAACGGAAAGACACAACTTGTTGAGTTATAACAATTTATTACAAAATAAATGTCAATAGAACATCCCAGAAATGAGACGGACTGAAATGGTAGAATCGGTCCGACCTCAGACTGTCGGTGATAATTTGAACAAAGCTCATCAGTAAGAGATAACGACGCCACCAGTCTAGTCAACTGGAAGGCCGTATGACTTGGAGGGCAACATGACCTAACACTGAACTGTGAACAGATATTCACTATACAAAACAATTCTGTTACTCCTAATGACGTCTTGGAAAGCCTATCAGAATCTTATCAGGAAATCTAATTATTTACAACAAAATTATTAGATGTTTATTTACATGCAGCTGGTGCATGCGAGGTAAACCTCAGCCTTTATGTTATGAAGCGGCAAAAAACGAATGTATTTCTGGGAAGAAGAAAAAAAAGGTTTACTTTTAATACTTTGAAGGCTGGCAAAGAGGTGCTTTACCATGGTGCATTTAAAGACTGTTACAAAATAAAGGAAGAATGCGCACCAGATGAACCAATCCAGTTTAAAAATTGTCCTTTTGATTAATGCCTCTCTCCTCCGACTGTTATCGTCTCAGTGAAGTGTTGACTTTGTTTCTCTGTTCACTTTAGGATGGGCTGATCGATCAGCTGTACGACTTGATCCTGGAATACTTTCACACTCAGGCCAACTCCATCGGCTTCCCCGAGCTCGCCTTGCCCACCATTATCCAGGTGAAACATTCTTACCTCTGCTCGTCTACTGACTCACCTGGGACAAATGCAGAGCATAAGGACCAAACAGATTCAGTGAGAGGAAACGCTGGCAGAAAACATCTGTAACAAAGTTCATGTGCTGGATCTGTGAGCCTGAATCTGCTGTCCTCGTGGGGGGTGGGGGGTGCGACAAACAAAAACTGTCCACCTGAATGTGTCTAATGAGGAAACTGGATCATCTCTGTTTTCAGGTTCTGTTATTTTTTTTTTTTTTTTTTTTTTTTTTTTTTTTTTTTAACGTTTGCTTCTTCTCAATGTCCCTGCAGCTGAAGGCTTTCCTGAAGGTATGCAAAGTGGCCAATTACTCGAAGCCGGTGCGCCAGCTGTTGGAGAAGATACAGGAGAACAGCAGCTTTATCGAAGGACGGAGACAGAAAGCTGCGTTTGGAGTGGCTGATTCTGCTGCGGTGGTGAGTGTGAGAGATGGTGGGAGGGACAATGGCTGTTATTTCTTCTTTGTTGTTTGTTTGGCTCCTTAATTTTTTTAATCTATGTTTATGTAAAGCTTAAAGTTTAAAACTTATTTGTTTTAAAAAAAAAGGAAGCGTTTACTTTAACAGACGAGCCAAAGAAAATTAAAACGTGTCCAAACGCATTTTGTAGCAGTTGTTGATGCAGCAACTTTTAAAATAATCTTGAACACCAGGTTTTTTAGGATTAGATCATTAAAACAGAAATTTATACGTTTTAGAGCAATACAGAATATAAAAAAGACCGGCTGTGTAAAAACTTAGTTGATGTGGTAAAATAACCTTTGTTTGCCGTTTGATAGAGATGTTTCCTCGGGCGAAATAAATGATCAGGTTTTTCTTGAGTTGATGATGAAGCATGCTAATGTTGAACAAAGAAACCCGAACAAGTTTAGCACTGCCTGCTCAAAACGTTTAAACTTGTAGAAAACAAATTTTCTGCTTCTTCCCCCCCAATGATAACTGGTTTACACAGACATTTTAAATATAATGTTTAAGAAAACTAAAGTTTAGTGTTGCTTTCACTGACCACAGATTGATGAAGACTGAATGTTTTCTACCTTTTGGCTGAAAGTAGCTTTCATTTGATGTAATCTTGATTTAACTCTCTGCTTAATGAATACAGGAGTCACTTTTGTATCGTTGGCTCCAACATAGATTACAAATCTCATATTTACTATGATTCCCCAGTGTCAATCACAACAGAGTTACTGTTTTTATTCTCTCAGTAACAACATGGGTAACCACCAGCCATCTGTTTCACCTATGTGGCACATTTAAAAAGAGTTCAGACAAACTGATAACGGTAACACGTGTTACTTCAGAGGTTAATTTTCTGAAGAGGCTTGTTGTCGTTCAAATGACACACAGACTCGCACATTAAAGGACCAGAATACTATTCTGTTGAAGTATTGTCACAGTATTTGTGTTGCAATGTCACTTATTTGCTTACAGTTTTTGTGTTTCTTTGTTTAAGCTCTTAATGATGTTACTAAAGAGGAGCAACTGTTCGTGTCCTGATGCAGCATACACTGCATGTGGTTGCACTTTTCAAGTTTTGAAGGGTGTACACGCTATATTAACATTTTCCAGACTTTAAAGATAAGCAATCAGTAGTTTACCATCCACTTTGTTTACCTGCTGCTTCCTGTCTGGGTTGCGGGGGTCACTGGTGCCCACACCCAGCAGTCACTACGCGAGAGGCGGGGGACACCCTGGACAGGTCGTGAGTCCATTACAGGGACACATGGAGACAAACAACCATTCACTCTCTCACTCTCACTTAGGGACGTTTTAGAGTTACCAATCAGCCTAACATGCATGTTTTTGGTCGTGGGAGGAAACCGGAGTACCCGGAGAAAACCCAGCATGCACGGAGAGAACATGCAAACTCCACCCGGAAAGGTCCACAGCCAGGATTTCATCCAACAAACCTCGCCGAGAGGTGACAGCTCTACCAACTGCAATTTGCAACTTATAGTTTACCATAAAAGTATTAATTTAGTTGTTGAATCTATCAAGTCAGTCATTATTTATTTATAGACATTTACAGTACACAGTCAAAAGATGCATAAAGTGCTTCACAGTACAAAAGTTAAAAACAATCGATAAAAACAAAAAAATACAAAAATGCTGAAGTGTCACCAGATATTTCAGACCTGCCAGAATTAAAACAAAAAATTCAGATTAGATTTTAAAAGGCCCAGATCAGTGATGGAGCACAAGTCCTAAAGTCACCCCAACATGTATTTTTGGATTTTGGGACAAACAGTAACGCTGTATTAGTTGATCTTAAGGTCCTTTCATATTCACAAAAAGCTACTAGATCAGCTAAATTGATCTGATTTATTGCTGATCTGTTTCATGTTGCTGTGTTCATTCGTCCTCACCTGCTCTCACAGACTCATGTTCGTGCTGCTGTTGTTCGGTGTATTGTTTTTATTCTACTAGTGCTTAGAGTATTTTTAGTTTAACGTATTTCTTAGTCCATATCTTGGATCTTATTACTGTTTTTCTTTTACATTTTATACTTTTGTTGAATGTAGCTGGGACCCTGCGTACACAATTTTGTTCCACCACATGTAGCACATGTGGTGTGAATGACAAATAAAGAAACTTTGAAATGAGGTGGGGTGGATGAAACCATTAAGAGCTTTAAAAGTGAACAATAAACATTTAAAATGAATTGTAAAAAAGACTGGAAGCAAATGGTGAGAAAATAAAACAGAGGTGATATGCTCACATCTGGGGGGTGTTTGTTAGAAGTTGGGCCGCAGCATTTCAGACAAGCTGAAGGCATCTTCAGGTGGTTTTATTTCATGTTTAGAACTCAGTTTAATTACTAAGACAAAAGAGTAATCGGAGTTGTGTCAAGGCACCAAGAAGAAAACAAGTTCAGCAACAGGGCTAAGATACAGTGCAGTTAAATTATTTATAATTACATTTATTTATCATCATCTGCACCTGACCCATTATCCACCCACTGTATTAGTGTTGAACTATCATGAGAATGATAATATACGTAAATAAAACTTTGTTCAGAAGATTTAAAAGTTAAACCAACAGTTTTCACTAACGGTGAAACAGGAGTGGGTTCATTTGCTTGAACTTCAAGCTAATTAATATAAACCGTTGACAGTCATTTTCATGTTTCGGTGCTCGTCCTGTTAGGGAAGGGGCTGCAGGTTTAGTCGGTGAGTTTGGCTAAAGGCCAGACTGCACTCTGATCACATCGCTGAGCGCTTCAGTTGTGATGTCAGCATAGTGTGGAGTTGTACATCCCAGAGCTCAAGCTGTAAAAAAAAAAGCTCTCAAGCTGTACAACATCCTCCTAAACAGTAGGTGTTGCTACTGAGAAAAAAAATGCAGGAATCACATTAGTCAAAGTCCTACAGGAATGACCTTTTTACAGAAATATAACAGTTTTAATGTATCTGCTTTATGTTTAGGCAGCTCATAGTAATATTAGCAGTTATTGCGCCACCATGAGTTGTGATCAGTCACACAGGTGTTTGTAAAAAGTAACCTGCTTACAGACGACTCCCCACTGCTTTCCTTAGTGTTCAGTATTCACGGTCACATAAATCTGGACTGCATGCTGGTCCCAGCAGAGGGACCTGGCAGACCCTCACAGGCAGATATAGATGGCTTAATTTACGCCACGCAGACCTTGTGGTCTAACGGATGGCCAAGCAGACAATCGACTGCAAATTGGGCTTTAATGAGGATCTTTGTGCGTGCGTGTGTTGTCAGAGGTAATCTCTTGATCTCTAATTATGCTACCTGTCCACATACACCTGCATGTTTTTATGTAACTTGGCTTCAATTTTTTCACTGATTAATATTCAAGAGCCTTTGAGGATAAAATGTAAGATGGCCTTTGTGCACGCTCCATGTGTGCACAGGCTCACAACAGTTAAATGGCACCGCGCCAGCACCTGTCGCCTCAAACTCCGCTAAGTAGAAGCTGTCGCCGTGGCGTCCCGTCCTTGGCGTTATGGCAGCAGTAGAGGTGTCACCGCAGGCGAAGGAGCATGGACAGCTCTGCTGCTGCTGTGGGAAGGCCACAGACCTTCTTCCCTCCACGCCCCCACTTACATGTCACCCAAACTGAGCTCACATGTTTAATCCCAGTTGCATTTTTTGCTTTTTAAAAGTAATTCAACACTGAATGCGCTGCTAGTTGCACAGCAGATTATGATGTTAACAGGCTCAGGAAGCTTCAGTCTGTTTGTTCTTTTTTATTCATTGGTAAATAATGTTATTGGTCCTAATCAATATCATCCACACAGGCCTTTTGAAGAATCAGAACATATCTATTCAGCCTTCTTCAACCTGCTTGTCTTCTGTATTTTTTTACTCGTCATATTTTTGTCTGCTTCCAGTTTCTATAAAGATGTTTTTGAAAGGAACATTAATTCAGATTATTTTGGGACTTGCTGAAAGGTTTAACACATTCTGTAAAACTCTTGATATCCCGTCAAGTTGATACTCGTTTACACCTCTGCTCACATTTTCCATCTGTGTTTTCTGTCAGACGGCCTGGGAGAAGAAGATCCAGCAGGAGGGGACTCCCCTCACCAGATACCACAGCCAGTGGAAGAAGCTGCGGGAGAAGGAGATCCAGCTGGAGATTTCTGGCAAAGAAAGGGTAATTATCCAGCTGAAAGCCTAACTACCGTTGCCTCAGTTGTTAAGAATCGCTTCTGGCTTTCTCTTCTGTGAATGTCGACCCATTTTACATTAATCACAAAACGACCGTGCTGTATAGTAGAACATTTCACTGGCAGGACAGTTATGATCGTCACTGAAACCATTAAAGTAACTTGGCTCATGTGTGTTGGTTTGCAAAGATGGAGGATCTGAACCTCCCGGAGATCAAACGGAAGAAGTTCCAAGAGAAGAAAGAGGAGGACAAGAAGGAGTTTAAGGGTCTGTTTGACTCCGACAGTGACTCGGATGACGACGACACGGGACTCAAAATCAAAAGTAAGTGAAGTCGCATCAAGCTTTTACTGCAACTTTGAAGTTTGTGAACAAGGGCAGCAGATTTGCCCAGTTTGGCCTCCAGGGGGCTGTATACTGACACAGCAGGGCAAACCGACTCACCGAAAAAAAAAATTATAGCTACAAAGAGGTGGCTCAGGTGGACCTGCTGTGCAGTTACCAAAAGCGCCCACACAGGCTGCTTCTGTGGAAATGAAAATTAAATCCTAAACTAAATTAAAGAGAAAATGTCAGCTTATCAGACGTTTTGGTTCGCTGCCCACCAGAAACGGTCGGCCTCATTCTTTAACCCCAGCGTGATTCGTTCGCCCGGGGTCGTCCACGGGTCACAGACAGCTGCTGCCACTCCTTCACAGTTTTTCACTCGGACGTGCTCCAAGCTGGGGAAAAAAAAAAACCTCAGCAAGGTCACAGAGGAAAGAGAAGGCGGCTTTTTTTTTTTTTTTTGAACACATCTGGACTTCATTGTAGGGAGAGTCCCCACAAACGGATGCGCCGCTGCCGGCAAGCGACTCCCCCACCCTCCTCCTCCTCCTCTCTTAGTTCGTCTTTCATCCGCACACACACACACACACACCAGCTGAAACTCCCTCAAACAGGAAGTACAGGCTTGGATCCCAGCGGGAGTTCCTAATTCAAACCAGCCCACTGGAACAGCCAAAGGTGGCCGCTCCCACTTCTCTGTATTTAAAAAAAAAAACGTAATTTCTTCTTCGTCTTTCTGGTTCTGTGAGCTTCCTCTGCGTGTCCTCACACACACAAACACATCTTGACAATAACACACAGCTACCACCTCATCGTCCGGTCGAGAAGAGCCAAAAACTTTTGGGCAGCTCACCAAAGCTGTTTGTGGTCTCACATTGGGGGGGGGGACGAAGGGGCTGATGATTTAGATTGATGTGTGTGTTTGTGGTGTCAGTGTGTGGCGGTAATAACTCATCCAGGTCATTTGGGGGCAACCTCAGAGGCACTACTGAAATCTGCTTTCACCATGTGAGCTACAAAGAGTGCAAGGAGCACGTTTGTTGTCCTAAATTCAGATGGGAGAAGTACCTGATGCTTTAACAGCCGTTGTTTATCCCTCTGTGTGTGTGCGAGCAGTTTTACACACACAGGAAGTAGCTGTGCTTTACCTCTCTCCATCACGCCATCAGCCTCTCATCACGTCTCAACTTCAAAGCTCGTGGACCCCAGTTGTCCGTTTGGCTGGAAAACACACGCACACTTCTGAGGATAGCAGAACGCAAGTTCAGACAAACTTCAAGCTTCTCTCCGCCATGCACGCACACACACACACACACACTCACACACACTGACTCCGCCATCATCACAGCAGCTCTGGAACCTGTCTGCTACCTTCATTTGCTATATTTAGGCCGAGAGCAGAAGATGTCTGAAATTGCCTGTTGTAAACTGTCATGGGTGTTTGTGCAGCAGCGGCAGCGGCGCCTGTAATCGACTCTCAGTTCCATCTCAGGAGGAAATAGACACTTCCAGCTGCCTCTGATACCTGGCCCACATATCTGTGTCTCCATAGTCCTCAGACGTCAGCGACGCAGCAGTGCAAACTTTAGTATATCTGAGGAAAGAAACTCAAGACAAAAATCTGTGTGGTTTGATGTTTTTAACTTTTTTTTTGTCTCAGGTAAGAAGAGTGATGATGAGGATGATGAGGATGATGATGATGACGACTTCGAGGATCTATTAGATCCAAATGACAAAGGAGCACTAGAGGAAGGAGACTCAGGTCAGTCAAACATCAGAAGTAAACCAGCAGTTTTTAGACATGCTATCTTTTCTTGTGTTTGTTTGGTGAGCAGGAGACTTTTCGTTAAGACCGAACTCAGCTGGTGTTAAAGATTTAGGTACCGTATTTTCCAAAGTATAAGTCGCTCCGGAGTAGCTTCGTTTCGGCTGGGCGGCGTGGCGCTATCCATCCATCCATCATGGCCGGAGCGGTGAGCTCTCCAGAGTTCCTCTGTCTGCAGCAGAGGAGTGAAGCGAGCGGGCATGGGAGAACTCGCTGTTGCAGTTCTTCGAAAGTTAAAGCCAAAAATTGCATTATGAATATGGAAAGAAAAAAAAATATATATATATATATATATATGTCACTTCGGCATATAAGTCGCAGGACTGACAAATTATGACAAACTGCAAAAAAACTGTGACTTATACGCCTGGAAATACGGTATTTGTTTGGTAGTTTGATAGTAATATGAATTTTAAGTATTTTAATGGTGTTTCAAGCAAAAAAAGCAGATAGTTTGTAACGGTTGGTAAAGTTAAATTTTGTTTTAAAAGCTTTTTTACACTTTTTTAAAGGTTTCTGATCTCATAATAAATAAAACTAACAAATATTATTAAATAATTTAAATAACTTTGATTTAGCATTAAATGTTTGTAAATGGAGTGATTTTTTTAAAATTTACATTTCAGTTCAGTTTCTGTAAAAAGTTATTTTGATTTTAGAGGTCCAGTTTTACTGCTGCAGCCTTACTGTGACAATAAATATAAAAAAAATGTTGCTTGGAGTCTAAAATGAAAAATTTTAGACTGTATTTTGTTTATAATGTTCTGTCCTCTCAAACCAGCCGGTCAAAGCAGATGGCCACTTGTCCTGAGCCTGGTTCTGCTGGAAGTTTCTTCCTTTTAAAAGGGAGTTTTTTCTTTCCACTGTTGCGACTGTGCTCACTCAGGAGGGGAGACTGCAACGAAGCCAAGATTCAACTTGTCTGCTGGATTCCTTAGATAGAGAACTTTACTAATTGGCTTTTATGTATGTGAATGTTTCTGTAAAGTGCCCTGAGACAACTTTGTTGTGATTTGGCGCTATATAAATAAACTGAATTGAAATTGAATAATGTTTTCTTCAAAAGTAAAGTTCACATTGCTTTTTGTAGGTATTAAAAATCTTCCATACAGACAATAATATATTTGTAAAAAGTACAAGGCTTAATAACGTGGAGGTAATATTGTCAACAAGTTGATCTTTATTTTCACATAACATCATTTCTAAAAATCTTCAAAAATAGCTTTTTGATGTGTTCATATCAAGCATTTACTGGTTTAAGGTATTCCTACGAGGTTGTCTGTATTAAAGTGTCCTGTTTGTATTCTAGGTGATGAAGATGATGAGGATGAAGATGATGAGACGGCCTCCAAGGCTCCTCAGCCGTTGTCCTCTGCAGCTCTAATAAAGCTGGCAGAGGGAGAGGAGGACGTGGTTGAAGACCTGCAGCTGTCTGACGACGATTAGGGTCGCTACAGTTCATGTCCTTGTTAACGTTTATATTTGCAGGTTTTTGTTTGTGATGTTTTGCTCTGTCATTTTAAATTTTGTATTGCTTCATATGTACAGTACAAATGAGATGATGGGTGTAATTTCATGGAGCTTTGAAACTGTTAAACAAAACTTTTCGCGAATCCTCCGTGTCACTGCACCTTTTTTTTAATGCTTCTTATTCATTGCAGTGTGGGACATGTAGACTAGTGCACAAGTGGACCTGAAAAGAAGGAATTTGTGTCCTCTGCACACGTGCACACCTGAGGTTACCCTCAGGCTTTGAAAGAAGGAGCATTTTAGTGGGATGTGCGAGCCTGACTGGGCTGAGCCAGGCCAGAGGATGGGTATGGAGAGGCGGGTTGTTGAGCCCCCAGGCAGCAGAGCTGTGCCTGGCTGGCAGGGTGTTGTCTGAAGCTGTGCCAAGACTCTGCCCAGGTGGTCGAGCTGCAACACAGGCTGGTCTGTTTCTGTGCCAAATCCTCACCCACCCCTGCCCACACCACTGTCTTTCAGTCTCTGTCTTCACACGCTAAGATGCAGCTTTCCTACACTAAATGTCTTCTTTCTTGACTTCTCTGCAACTTTGCCAGAATTCACCACTAAGCTAGGGATTTTTTTTTGGGGGGGGGGGGGGGGGAGAGGGACAATCACTGTGATGGGCAATCTCTGATATATTCTGTGTGTCATGCATTGTGAGATTTCTTAAAGACTAGATGGCCACTATAGTTTGGTATAAGCATAATTGCACAGAAAATTTACACTTTGTTTTGAAAGGTTTCTACAGGAAGACCTAACCACTTATGAGTGCAACTGTCTGGTTTAAAAACTTTTTCCTCTTTAATTTTTTTATGCAAATTAAAAAAAAACAACTTAGAAGTGGGTATTTAAATCATCACACAAGTGCATTTTATGCATCAAGGTTGAATTCATAGTTCGTACTGTGATTTAAAGCAAATATTAAAAGATAAATATTGTGCATTGTGATAAAGCCTAAAAACACTGCTAATACTTTTACGTACTACCCACTGGGGCACAACACAAAGTGAATGCAATGGTTTTTCAAATAACAAAAATGTGAAATTAGATTTTAAGCAACTTTATTTTGTCACACTTCCTCTCTGGTAGTTTTGGTTGAATTTCGAAAATGTCGACGTTGAAGCTCGCCTGAAGCAAATGCAAGTCCCCTCAGAGTTTGCAGTGGAGTGCTTTGAAGGGAGGTGAGTGAGGGCTGAAACGTGTGTGTGTGTGTGGGTGTATCAGGAGGGTCAGGTTTGCCCCCACAGGAGGCAGGAAGGCCTTGGCCTGCGGCTGAACCTCACACTCCCAACAGCTGGTGTTGACCTAAACTGTGTTCCTCCTGGGTCACACACACATAAACACACACTTTTGCAAAACCACAAACACCTGAGAAGAAAAACGGGTTTCTGCACATCTGATGAAAGGAGAGAGACAAGAATATTCTTTAGGATTTATTTCACCTGTGTGGTGAATAGAAAAATAGGATGAAAACAAAACTTTAGAAGGGAAATCTAGAGAGCATTTTAATTCATTGCTTGCAAAGTTTAAAAAAAAAATGCATAAGAGATTCAAAACATCTGCATTAAGAGCTTTTGTGCCTTTTCTTTTCCCTGCAACCAAGAGAAAACAAAGTTAAAGTATCTTTGGAATCCATCTTAAGGGCTAATACATAACATAATCTGCTTTATCTACTACATCAAAAGTCCTATAAATAATTTTGTCCTCATATTTGTATGCTTGAGTAGCATTTGAGATTTGAGCTTTTTTTGTATTACACATTTTTTCTACCTTTTTTTTAAGAAAATTCGGGAAAAAAGTACCACCAAAGTTCAGCAAGTCACATTTTTCTGTAAAGAAATTCTTATTCGTGCAACTACATTTAACAAAAAGTGAAAGTACCACGTATGTAACCAGAATATTTTCATCTTAAGCGCGATTCTGTACAATTCTGCATGTTCATCCTACCTCTGACAGTAGTCAACACAAGTGTACGATGACAAATGTCTCCTTTTATGATAGTTTTGAGCATTGTCATCAAACCTACACCACCCCAAACAGAGTCAACTGTACGAGGCTCTACCTCTGTCTTTCCCTGGACCAGTTTAGTTTTCTGAGACCATTAACACAAAAATATCAGACACATTATGAATCATGGTTCCAATTCCACACATCCAGTATCTTCTTTGGTATCAGGACAGTGGAATGCATAGTTGCAGTGATAATAGAGGAAACTGGTCAAATCCAGTGCTCTTTAGCGTGTTTCAACTCCAACCTTTATACAAAAAAAAGATGCCACGCTGTCGTTTGGCTTCTGCAAATAGTCAAGGAAGGAAGGGAGGGAGAGAAAAGGGAGACATTTTCTTCCTGGCCTCTGCAGGGCTTGAGGTAAGATGGATACAAGAGAAAGAAAGTGACTGAGAGCTTCCTTCTGCTCAGGAAGGAAGGAAGAGTTTCCGCTAGCGTCTGTCTGATTTTCAAAAATGTCGCATTTGTGGCGAGGCTCTGCTTCTTTTTCTTGGCAGGCTGTCTGTGACCAGCTGTCTCCATTTCCCTCCCTCTCTCCGTTCCTCTGTCACTTTACGTTTCTCCCTTCCAACCCAGATTCTTTGGATTCTGCTCGTCTTCAGCCGCTGCAGAGGCTGCCCAGTAGTCTCTGATTTCGGTCGTAGAATTTCCCATGAACTGAAGTTGAAATGTCTCAATGGAGAGTTTGGTAAATGTAGCTTGAGGATCAGACCAGTTTTGACCCTCCTCATACAGATCTTTCCCTCCACCCCGTGCAGTCCTACGAAGGAGTTTTAGCCTCATATCTGCCCACCACCACAGAGCTGGTACCGTTTTCCTGTTTGGGGGAGGAGCACCCTGGGGTGGGGCCACTGTATGGAGACGAGCTATTGCTGGCGGAGGTGGGTCGGTGAAGCAGGGACAGAGGTGTGGTCAGGGGGTCTCGATCCCGATCTGGGGGGCGCAGGATAGCAGAAGGTGGAAATGGGAACGCCAATGGGAAACCTGTCATGTAGAAAAGCCTGCCGACGCGCCGCGCCACCTGAGGAGACAAGAGGCCACATCACCGTCAGAACAGCCTGCTGAGCTTTGCGTGATGGGTTTATTTCTTTTAAAAAAACTGGAGTTCAGAGAGAGAAGGCGAGGCAGCAGTTTGCGGGGGCAGGCTAGTTTAGGGGAGTTAGCTACGCTACGCTGAGCTAATAAATATTCCCAAACATCCAAACACTTAAACGCTCCATTCCAACACACACAGGTCTGCGATGTGTGTACCTGTGAGCGGATCTTGAGTGCAGGCCCCAGCTTTAGTCCCATGGTGTTGAGCAGATGCTCCTCAGTGAGCAGCGGCAATGTGTCTCCGTCAATGGCCTGCTCCCGAAACACCTGGCAGAGACACAGCCGCTTCAGCCACAGCCCCGACACGCACGCACACAATCTACAAACTCACTCGCGCACAACAAATCTCTATTCCAAACTTTCATACCCATGAGTATTGTAACTGATGGTGATCCAGATAGCCAGGAGGAGTGGTATGATGGGGGGTTTAAACATCAAATTGAAAGAATTTCATTTAATTTCTGGCTGTAGACAAATCTGTTCCCAGGTCGACCAGGTGTAAGGGATGTAAACGACACGGTCTTGTTGCCTTCAGTAACATTTCATTTAAAAGTAGTAAAAAAAAAAGATCGACCCAGGATTTGTGTCAATTAACAATTTCAGACAAGTTATCAAAGTTTTTAAAAATAACTTTAGTGTGAAACATGAACTTTGTTGTCTCACATTGGAGAAACATTAGTAAAGAATGACTTTACTCCAAGTTTGAGGCACTATTTAAACATCTATATTGTCAAGAGAGAATTATAATATATTTTTTTTAAATCAACCCTTCAGGTGAATATTTTGTTTAATGGATAGTGGATTTTGGAAGATACACACGTTTGGTTTACACGAGCTGTACGTATACACACACCTTTAACTCACTTTCATTCAAACAAAGCCCACAAACAACTGAATCGTGCATCAGCACAAACAGCTCAAGAGCCTCTGCCTTTACCTTGAAAATACTATTATATTTGAGTATATTTTACATCTTTGGCACTCCTATAATTAACAGTTCGCCTGCCTCTGGCCTCCATCCCCTTCTCTCTCCGTCTTCCCTCTTCCTGTGCTCTCACCTGTGCATATTCAGCACATCCAGCCAGGCTGCTTATGAAGCCACACACATCCTCCACACTCCACTTGCTGATGTCTTCCACAGGGTTGGATGTGGCAGAGTCCTCCCCATCCATAAAAAGGCCTCCCAAAGCACCTGAAAATGCAGCAGCAGGTAAAAATGATGTCAATAATACATAGACTGAGGATAAAGTACTTTTATTTGTTGAAAACTCATTCTTAAGCTTTAGCAGGTTTGAAAAGAACGCTTAATGATACGATGAGCAAGATGGACTTTTAAGTCAATGAGGTCGGAGTACATTAATCCATACACATGAATCGAAGGGATCAATAGGTCTGAGTGGTTTTAGTGATCGTTCTATTTGAAAGACGTTAAGAAATGCCAGTCACTGAACCAGTGAGGAGGAAAGCAGAACCATACAGCGCTGTCCAAAACTTAAACTAACCCTACATTCTTTATATGTTTCACTTCTGAGGAGCCAGACCTTGTAATCTTAGTGGTCTTGATCAATAGTTGTCCAGGCTTTCTGAACGTCTTTCTGAGTTTGTATTTGGACATTTTGCTCCTTAAATTGTTGAAACTATTCATTATGTAAACTAAATAATTTAGTTCACCCCTCTGGATTTCAGTCTTCTGTTCTTCAGCTGCACAACTTGAGCTTTTTATGCTCACATAAAGCCTAGTAAATTTAATTGCTGCTGTGAGTCCACGTGTTGATACATGTGTGTGTGCGCATGCGTGAACTAACAACCACCTCCCCACTTAGCCCTCGTGGCTGCTGGTGGTGTGCCTGTGGGTCACGCTGGGGTCAGAGGCAGGGCCCCTAACAAGTAAAGGTCTCCACACTAAAGGCGCACACACATGTGGTGATGCTAATGGGTTTCACATGTCACTGCTAAGCTTTGTGTGTGCGTCTATTGCTCACCGGCATGAAAGTAAGGACTGGCGTAGGGGAATCCGAAGGGCAGCGTTTGGGCGTGAAGAGCGTGCAGCGGTGGAATGAACCCTGGAGGCAGGTGATATTTGAGATCGGCTTTGCCCAGTCCAGGTGTGAAAATGTGCCGACTGGGTGACTCGGTATCTGTTGAACTACACGGTGCACTCAGTCTGCCCGAGCTCTCTCCGGCCTCCTGGGCACTCTCCTCTCCCCTCTTGTTTCCAGTTTCTTTGCTCCTGTTCAGCTCTCCGTCTCTGGGCTTACTTTTGGGCTGTGCTCGCCTCTCTTCGCACATCTCTGTCTCGCTGTCCGAGTCCTTCATCTCCTCATCATGCACCTCCATGTCTCCCTCTCTTTCTGTGTCGTCTCTTCTTCCTCTATAATCCCCTACACGTAGCGGTGTTTGGGGTTCCCTGCAATGAACCTTTTTGTACTGTGGCCTGGCGGTGGAGCTCTGTGCCTGTGGATCTTTGGGTGTGGAGGATGCAACTGGTTGTTGTTGCTGCTGCTGCTGGTTGACGGTTAAAAGGGGCGTGGCAGAACCATGGCGAAGCACAAGCATTGCGTTTGTGCGACGGACTAGCTCCTCGCGGAGAGGATGTCCCTCTGGGATGTCGTGGAGACTCCGCAGGGCAGGGTGGTCAGGGGGCAGACCAGGAGGCAGAGCTCCCAGTGGGTCAGAGCCCAGCAAACGCTGCTGCTGCTGCTGGAGATTCTCCAACTCCTTCTGTCTTAGCAGCTCTGCTGATATCTCAAGTCTGAGGCAGTGAAACACACAAGAACTTGAATGTAAAAAAACAAGACTGAAAAGTTATTTAGGTGACAATAAACCCATGTAATGTGGGAGGGGTTATACACACACCTGGCCAGATTCTGCTTCCTTAAAAGTTCTTGCTGTCGAGCAAAAATTTCAGCCTGAGCTGGCTGAAGGAAACCATAACCTGGTAAAGGAACAACAGGAACAACAGGAACACATTAATAAATGAACACAACTTTAAAAGTATGTCACTACATCTAAAACACATGTTGGAAAGTATGAATACTCAACCAAGTAGTTTGTAGACTAAGTGTTTACACTGGACACAACTTTGGCTTCAATTTAATATTTTGGAGAAGAGCACCTTATTTTCTACTTCATAAAACTTATTTGACCACTTTGCTTTTAAAATGAAGAAACAGAACCATAGGAAGTTTTATTGTGCTGGCATAGATGTATTACTACAGACATAGTACTTGTGTATCTCTCAGCATTACCGACTACTCACCAGGGGCCTGGCAAAGAGCGGAGGGCATGCCCAGGAATGGAGGTCGCAGGTGAGGTCCTAAGGCGATATGTGGAGCGGTCGGAGGGGACAGGAGGGGTGGAGGATGGGACAATTCTCTGAGGAGACAAATGCAAACAACACATCCATTTAAACCTGGCTTCAGACAGGAAATTTAACAGAAACAGAATTACCGTACACGGATAAAATAGTTTTGTCCTAGCAGAGTTTCTGTTCTCAGCACAATTCAGCTCTTTTTCTCTGTGTGTGTGTGTGTGTGTGCATGTGTGTGTGCGAGTGTGTTTCTGCTGCCACACCAGTGTATGCGGTGTATTTTTATCTGTGGCACTCCAGAGGCCCCAATGTCGCCTCAGTGCCTCATCAGTCTTGTCACGCCGCAGCAAGCGCCGCTGGCCATTACTGTACCCTGGACTGCAGCCTTTCCTTACCCTGTAGTCACACACACACATACACACACACATATTCAGACCCACACACATAATGAGGGCTGAATGCACAATGCCAGTGTGTCATGCTCCGACAGCTGGGGCGGCCCCTGCGTCTTGACCGGGGCCACGGGCTGAAGGACCTTCTAATTAACACTCATCCCTCCTCTTTTTTCTCCCTTTTTGTAGCTCCCCTCTCTGTCTCCCTCCCTCTCAATCTCTGAAAAGATGAAGCATCCTGCAACCTCTGCTTCTGAAAAGGCCTCTCCATTATTGGCCTCGTCTTTTGTCCTCTTTGATGGGGAAAGGTGCCTCTCACCTTTCTCCCACTCTTTCTGTCTTAACTCCATTTTACTCCCAATTCTATAAATCTCTGTGACCTAAAAATATATATCCCTTGTTCACTGGTTTAATTTTTATTCCTATGCTTTCTTCCTTTACCTTTTTATGTATTTTTCTAGTCTCTACATCCTATTTTTGCATTTTCCCTTCACTTTCTCCCCTTGTTTTTAAACTAATCATTGTCTACTTGTTTTTCTCAGTTTGATGTAAATCTTTTTGCTTGATGAGATTTTAACGCTCACCTTGACTCTGTAGACGTCAAAATGTGTGAAATTTTGACCCAGGAGTTTATCATGAAGCGGTCCACAGCTGTCTCAGAGCCTTTTCCCAACACATACACACACACACACTCACACATATACATATATATATATATATATATATATATATATATATATATACACATATATATATATATATATATATATATATATATATATATATATATATACACACACACACACACTTCTTCTCCTCACTTTGTTTTTTTTTTTTGGGTCCTTCCTTACTTCAGCTGCTATCACACCGAACAGCGCTCAGCTGCGTGTGACTGCCACGGAACAAAAGCATACAAGAGAAACAAGCTGAGGAAAACAACAAAGTCAAACCCAACACTGGGACGCGTGAAACCGCAAATATTGTTTTGAGACAGTGTTCAAATTTGCCAGCGCCTGCAAGTCTCCTGCCTCTGTAAATGACGAGGAACGAGAAGAGGGCATATGTACAAGAGAAGGGAGAGAGGATGGAGGTTGGGGGGAGGGGGGGACAAGGTGGTAGAGTTAGTTGTGTGTGTGTGTGTCCATCGATTGCCTCTGAAATGTTAATACTAATCGTATAACCGCTCTCTCCGGCGGTGCCTCGCACTCCAGTGGCAGCTCCAATTAATCTTAGGTGAGGGCTGTGGTGCGTGACCCTGGAGATGCAAGCCTGGACCCCCGTTAGCCGCTGCTTATGTAATTACACCGCCCAGTGTGTAATCACCTGGCCTAATCCCTCAGGGCTAGCAATTAGCCTCGCGACGCAGTTCCACCAGACTACGCAACGGCGTCCGCAAAGCCTCCCATCCACCCCCACCCATGGCTCCCAAACTCATCACCCCTCTGCACCCCCACATCTCTTTCTGATATTTCTTTTTCTCTCTCTCTCCTTGCACCGCCTTGCTTAGCGTTAGCCCGCAGATGAATAACGGTCAATTAAAGCTGCATGACTGGGGCTGCCAGGCGTCTGCGCCACCATAATTAGGCCTAATCACCGGGAGTGAGGGAGGGAGAGGAGAGAAAGAGCATGTCTGACACTCTCCTCCTTTCCCTCCCTCCATCTCTCTTCCTCTTTTACAGGAGGCAATTTTGAGGAAGGAGTGGCAGACATTAGTCGTTTTGCTCTGAGGATGTGTGCGTTGTTTGTGAGCAACATGTCTGTCCTTCTCGAAGTGTGTGGTTTTATTTTTGCACTCTCCGCACATTTTGTTGGTTAACCACTGACATGCTAAAAAAAGACGAGGGACAAACAGTCACCTAGTTTTTGCAAGAGACTGTAAAAGAAGACAAGATTCAAAACTACAAGGTGGACTCGTAATCACACAGAAGTCTATCACTGGATTCTGTCCGTCTCTGCCTGCAGTGAGGCCACGGGCTCATGGGGGGTTCACTGGTGTGTGGCGACCTGTCAGAACGGCGACAGCGGTCCTGTCCTGGAACAGCACAGGCAGTGTGTACGTGTGTGTGTGTGTGTGTGTGTGTGTGTGTGTGTGTGTGTGTGTGTGAAGGGGCTGCCCTTAATGACTGAAGCGTGGGGGGATTAGGAGCGCCGCGCGGCCGCCTTCGGCTCCCTCTCCGCAGGAACACATTTACACAGGAAGCTCATTAAAATGGATGAGGCTCCCTCCACGCTTGCTCCCTCCTTCCCTCTATCTCATCACTCCTTACCTCACCCCCTCTCCCTTTATCTCACACTCTCCATCTCCCCCGTCCAAGTGTTGGTTCATCTTTCTCCATCGCCTCACCACGTCTATTCCTTCACTTTTCTCATCTCTGTTTTAAGACTCCATGTTTTCCACTTCCTCGATGTATCCCGTTCTCTTTACTTTTCTACGACACCCCCCACCCACCATTTGCCTTGCACATGTTTGGTGAGCTTAGTGCCATTTAAGGCCAGACAAATGGAGCGCCAGGCTCTAAGCCTATCGAGCAGCCCTAATGATTTGTTTTTAACAATGGGCCCTAATGGGCCCCAGATAATCAATGATGAGGGGTCGATGGAAAGGTGAGCCGTGGAGAGGGAGGCTGGAGAGAGAGCTTCCATCTCTGACTCGCTTTCTTTTAGTTTCGTTTATTGGTGTTTTAGTTTTGCTTACTAGTCATACTCTTAATTTATTCAACCTTCATGTTTTCACAGAAAGTACACATTATTTTATAAATGGCTGCCTCTTCCCTTTAGATGCACATTTTTCTACGTACTCAGGTGGATGTGAACTTAACACCTTTTCACCAGAATTTAGAGCTAGTCTTATGGGATGACGTTGAAAAAAAAAAACATTTTGTTAAAGACCCCAAAGAAGGGCATTGTCATGCTAAAACATGAGGAGAGCTTCTTTAAACGTTTGCTACAATGGTGAATCCAAGTTTCTGCCTGCAGAATATGTTATGCTGTGTCATTAAGATTTTCTTCAAGAGGAAGTAAAATCCACGACCCGAAACCTTTTCCAGACAGAAACTACTTTAAATTAGTTCTGTATCAGAAGAGGCTGGGTACTGAATGCAGCCAAGGAGATTTCTTCCCCATTTTTGCCATTTCTTATAATAAATTAATGTACAGTACTGAGCAAAAGTCTGAAGTCATCCATAATTTATATTTATTTTGATTTGAGAAGTTAAACTTTCTAATGTTTTAAAGTTGACTTTTACTAAATTTCAGTTCTTATTCAACATCCAGTGTCTGACCATTTTCAGAGGAATATTTGTTAAACCACTAAACTATGAATAAATCAGGAATAAAAAGGCTGCTAAACTCCAGGGATGAACATTCAACTTAGCAAACGACTTGACATACACTTTATTATGTTCTCCACGTGTCCACGTTCCTAAATTCTTTAAGCATGAGCTGCATAATATCCCATCATGGTCAGGTTGCAAATGAGAGGAAAACGTAGCCAAAGTCCAAAGAAAAATAATGAAAAAAAAATCTTCAGAAACCCGGAACTACCCACTAAACATTGGACGTCGAATGGATGTGCAGCTCATGTCTATATTGAGTCCGGCGGTCAAAGACCAATTCTGGACGTCTCCACGACGTGCAAACAAGGTCCTATTTGGACGTCTAAGCATGACCTCACTTGTACGTCAAAATAGAGTACAATGTTTGAACGTCAGTCTTGGAGGTCATAAAGACAGGTGCACAAGCTTAAGTGAATATAATCATAATTTATCATAATAAAATAGTAACTGTGCACATGATTATAAATTTGTACGGCTCTGTTCATAAACCAACTGTTGCTATTTTCTGCATTTGTTTCTCTCGGAGCTGTACTTGTTCTCTTAATCCAATAAAGAGGATAATGGACAAACTTAAGGATTGATGATTTATTTGTAAACCTAACTGTTTCTAGTGGGTGGAGGACCAGTTTATGTTGCACAATGGATGGTCAAATATAATGTTTCCCTGGTTTTGCTTGCCAAACAGAGATGGGGTAGTGGTAGGGCAGCAAACTGTAAACCCGAAGGTCCCAGGATCAATCCCCAGCCATTGCAACATCCCCCATGAGATGGATAGGTTCTCCATTATATGGGTACATACAATGATGACAACACACAGCACTTAATATTATTATTATCTGAAGTGACTAAAATAAGGTCAAATTTGATGTAGAGAAGATGTCTATATTGACGTCCGGTGGACAGGTGCGTCACAGTCTGCACCTGCGAGGGACCAAAATTAGACGGGCAAAAATGACTTTAAAAAGACGTTGTTTAGACGTCTCCTTGCAATATGGGTACTGATAAAGACCGTTTGAAAATATTATAAGAAGCCTGATTCTTTGGAAACAAAGTATAAAAAAAGGGGGGTATTTAAAACTTCAGCATAGTACACAAGTTTATTTTTTAATGCTGAAACGACTGCAAGCACTCAGACCTAACTACTTCATAAGTCTGGACATTGGACCCAGCACTAGAATGGTTTCTTAATTTTCATCTCATCAGACCGGACCCTAGTGTAGGGGACAAACTTCATGAACTACGCTCCACGGCTGGTTTAAGTGGATGAAACTAGTACAGCTGTGTAC